AGGATGGGGATGGCGAAGGAGGGAAGGAACAGTATGACGCTGCTGCTGATGATGGTGACGGTGAGGCTGCTGGTTATGATGGCGTTGTTGATGATAAGGATGCTGATGCAAATGCTGATGCTGATGATGGTGAACATGAGGACCAGGATGAGGGTGCTGATGATGATAAGAGAAAGGATGTAGATGATGATGGTGACGAGAAGGATGCTGATGATGCTGATGACGATGGTGATGACAATGCTGGTGACGATGATGACGATGATGATGCTGATGCTGATGCTGATGATGATGCTGATGCTGATGCGGATGCTGCTGATGCTGAGGATGATGATGATGATGATGAGAAAGTACTATTGCTGATGGCGGTGATGATACTGATGATGCTGCTGCTGATGCTGCTGCTGATGCTGATGATGCTGCTGCTGATGATGCTGCTGATGATGCTGATGATGGTGACGACGCTGCTGCTGATGCTGCTGCTGATGATGACGGCGATAATGCGGCCGACGGCAAAGGTGGTGATGCTCTTGCTGCTGCTGGAGATGATGGCAGTGGTGATGTTGCTGGCGGCGGTGATTAATGACGGCGATGATGATGCTGCTGTTGGTGATGCTGCTGTTGATGCTGATGACAATGACGAGGAGGAAGGTGTGACCATCATACTGATGGTGGTGATGATGATGAGGATGATGATTCTGCTCAGGAGCACGACGAGGATGAGGAGGATGACCAGGAGGAGTCGCAGCAGGAGGAGGAGGAGGAGGAGGAGGACCACCGTAAACCCACGAGCCATCAGCGATGTTGGACTACACCCTCCCTCCAAGCTCCCTCTTCACAGGCCCCTACAGCGGCTCATTTCTATTGAGGGAACTGCCTCGTTGGGAGGCAACCGTGTGAAGACTCTGAATCGTGCCCAAACATTGTTCTCGGGATTCCAACGCCATGGATCAACCTGACTGTTGTGTCTTGACGATCCTGGATCATGCCGGAACGCCATTCGTTGGATTTCAACAACGCGAACCAACGTAATTGTTGCACCCGCAACATCGGGAATCTTTCCAAACCATCATTTCTGGTACGTTGATCGTGGGAATCCGTGAAGCTCTTGCGTTTTTCTGTTCAAGCGCATGTGCGCGGCGCTAAGGCGAGAGCCACATTTTGAAACGGAACCGCCCTCATTCCGTGAAACTCTTGCAACTTTCATAAACGAATGTGCGCGGCGCTAAGGCGATAGCTCTTTTTTGAACGAATGTGCGCGGCGCTAAGATGAGAGCCTCATGTTGAAAACCACCCGCCCTCCATCTGTGAAACGTTTGCCAATGTTGTAGCTTCAGGGTCTTAAATGGTGAGGAAGTCTCAGGCGAAACGCCTGGCCCGCCCTAAACACTGGCCTCGGGGTGCGACAGGGAGGTGTATTAGGAAGGAATGAATGGAGGAGAGGAAGAAGGAGGCGGAGGAGGAGGAGGAGGAGAGGGAGGAGGAGGAGGAGGAGGAGGGAGGCGGATGAGAATAGGAGGAGGAGGGAGGAGGGAGGAGGAAGGAGGATAGGGATGAGGAGCAGGAGAAGGAAGGAGGATGAAGCGGAGGAGGAGGCGAGGAGTGAGAGGCATGGGAGGAGGAGGAGGAGTAGGAGGATGGGGGAGGAGGTTGGCGGAGGCAGGGAGGAGAGAGAGGAGTGAGGAGGAGGAGCGAGGAGGAGGAAGAAGAGGAGCGGAGGAGGAGGAGGAGGAGGAGGAGGAGGAGGAGGAGCAGGAGGAGCAGGAGGATACTGA